TGCCTGCCTCCATCTCAGCATCTGCATCACAGGGAGCAAACCAGCCACACCTGTCAACAATATTCCTTAGAGCCATGAGCAAACTGCTAGAAAACCTCAATAATCAGGGGACTGTCTAACCTATAACTGGATTAACAAATGTATATTCCACCATTTGTTTATTCCCAGCTCATCATCACACAAAAGCATTTTCAAAACTTCATTCTGATCTAAGGGTTGAAACTACAGCCAAGCCATAACTCAAAATATGTTTTCTCCAAGACCCAAACATACAGAGACATTAATCCTGATTTACACGTGGACACAGAAGGTCCACTGAGGTCAGCCAAGATACACACACCCACTCCTCAGAATCTCTGGAGGATTTAATCACTCACTTTGGCAGCAAAAGATATCAAAATGGGTTACAGGTTTATAAACCTATTAACTGAATCACTTTGCGGTATACCTGAAATACTGTCAATCAACTATACTTCAATTAAAAAAGAATAAATAATGTACAGCCATGGCTAAGAATGATAGCTCCATGAAGAGCATTTTTATTTAAGCCACAAAACTACCATATGTGTTCACTGAATTCAGTACAATGACTCCTCCTCAGTCCATTTTCACAGACAAGGAAACAGGTTTAGAAAAGTTAGAAGGTTACTCAAGGGTACAATGCTGTGCAAGGGGGTAAAGCTGAGATGTGAATTCACACAGTATGACTGCAAAGACCCTCCTCTCCCTCCATCACTACCACACTGACAATACATGCCACCCCCTCACCCCTGCATGTGCAGAGTGTCCAGCATGGCCACTAGCACACAGCAGATGCTCTGAAATCATTAGTTAAGTTTGTTCTTTACTCTTTAGCTTTCCTCCTCTCTATTCTCTGCTCTTCACAATCTCCCGGCCCAAAATATCACTTTAGAGTTCAGTGGGAGTGAGGGACGGGTAAGGACAGTCAGGATGACAAAAGTCTACAAGCAATAAATGCTGGAGAGGGTGTGGAGAAAAGAGAACCCTCTTACACTGTTGGTGGGAATGCAAACTAGTACAGCCACTATGGAAAACAGTGTGGAGATTCCTTAAAAAGCTGGAAATAGAACTGCCATATGACCCAGCAATCCCACTTCTGGGCATACACACCGAGGAAACCAGATCTGAAAGAGACACGTGCACCCCAATGTTCATCGCAGCACTGTTTATAATAGCCAGGACATGGAAGCAACCTAGATGCCCATCAGCAGATGAATGGATAAGGAAGCTGTGGTACATATACACCATGGAATATTACTCAACCATTAAAAAGAATTCATTTGAATCAGTTCTAATGAGATGGATGGAACTGGAGCCCATTATACAGAGCAAAGTAAGCCAGAAAGATAAAGACCATTACAGTATACTAACACATATATATGGAATTTAGAAAGATGGTAACGATAACCCTATATGCAAAACAGAAAAAGAGACTCAGATGTATAGAACAGACTTGTGGACTCTGTGGGAGAAGGCGAGGGTGGGATGTTTCAAGAGAACAGCATCGAAACATGTATATTATCTAGGGTGAAACAGATCACCAGCCCAGGTTGGATGCATGAGACAAGTGCTTGGGCCTGGAGCACTAGGAAGACCCAGAGGGATCGGGTGGAGAGGGAGGTGGGAGGGGGGACCGGGATGGGGAATACATGTAAATCCATGGCTAATTCATTTCAATGTATGACAAAAACCAGTGCAATGTTGTAAAGTAATTAGCCTCCGACTAATAAAAATAAATGGGAAAAAAAATATTCAGTTAAAAAAAAAAAAGGACAGTCAGGATGGAGCCAGGAAATATTACTCTTTTCCCTACTCTTCCCTTCCTAAAGTCTAGTCATGAGCATATACTTGTTTTCTGTTTAAAATCTTTTCAGATGATTATTACAGATACTATATTAAAAATATCACAAATCTAAAAAGAAACTTTCTACCATCACTTCTCAAGTTTAAGTTCATGTTTTATGCGCCTATGTCAACTTCTAGTTCCTGTCCATGAGCATATGCAGTCTTTATATTTACAAAATCATTATACATTATATATTTAGATGTGTCTGCTTACATTATACCATATATATTTTTCCAGTAGATTTGTCTTATAACCCAAATAAGCAGCGTGGTAAAGCTCTGCAGATAATGAAGATACCTTTCTATGTAACTGGACCCAAGATATTTTCATTAGAAGCTTCCCTTTTGTTTGTGGGGGCGGGGGGGGGGGGGAGATGACTTAGCCTAGTTACTCTGAAAACTGATACAAAAATGTATCAATGTAACCATGTAAAAATCATATGACAGTCACTGGCCTTCTCTCTTTACTGTATGTTCCTCAAAGCCCACACAACTCACCACCACCCCCCTCCCCGTGCCTGGCACAAAGTAAAGGTTCAAAAAAATACTTGATGAATGAACAGATGATTCTTCTCTGGGCTGAAGAGTGAAGGTGTAAGATTCCTTAGGAGGAGGGACAGGAGACTCCAAAGTTAAGCCTGAAAACAGGGCAGGATGAACCAGAGGGAACAGGCAGAACAGGCCGGAAACCCCATGGTAAAGGCCAGCTACATTGGTCAGGAGGAAGCATGTGGTTTCCTGAATTATATCCGTTCAAAGCCATCAACCTCTGAAGCATGACATACAGAGATCATGTCAAGGATCCACAGTGCCCCTTCAGTCCCATTTTAGAGTTGTTTCTAAAAGGGTGTTTACATTATCAAAAGGGCTATAGAGGTCAAGGCAGCTGGAAGAGAAAAATAAGACTGAAAAAAGAAAAAAAGAGAGAGAGAGAATAGGTACACCTCAGAGAACATCCCTATACAACATCATTAGGGGAAGATTCTTAAGCTAGAGTCCACTGGGCTGCCTCTGGGCAGCACAGTGAAACTTTACAAAGCTGTGAAAACACTGAAATGGGTATAAATTGCGCCTGTGTGTGTGTTTCTGTCTAGACAGCAGACCTCAGATTCATCAGATTCTTATGCCCTTTGGTTATTGAGACTGCTACTTCTTCCACTTTATCAATGCAAATGGAGCTCTTCTAAATCCATCATTATTCTTTAGGGGCTGGAAGTGGGCATGAGAGGTGGTAGGAAGGAGAGAGAGAAAGTAACTAAGCCCTGGAAGACCTATTAATTGAGTGACTAGATGTGAAAGGATTACAGAGGGTTCTGCATATATAAACAAGGGCCTATAAATCTTAGCACTCAGTATTTTTATTACTCTATGACAAATGCCTTATGCTTTCCCAGCTTCACAATAACCCTAAAAGGTCAGCATAAGTCCCATGTCCTATTTATGATACTCAAGAGAAACTGAGTAAAATTACTCCCAGGTTACACGGCTAATGATGGAGTTCAGAACTACCTAACTCCAAAGCTTGGACTCTTCATCTCCACCCCATGACCTGAGTTACTGGCCAGGCTTTCAGTCTGAAAGCAGCCTTTCCTGCTATCCTTAAGGCTTTTACATCTTAAGTCCAATAGTCTTTCTCTCTGAGTCTGTCCATCAGAACAGGCACTGAGCCTAAAAATTAGTTTCTTCAAGCCAAGGCATAATTTACTTGTTTATATAATAGGGCCCCGGTCATCCCACTCAAATTTATACACTCAAGCCAGTTTCTCTCACACGGTGTGTGTTAGTTGCTCAGTCATGTTGGACTCTTTGTGACCCCACGGACTGTAGCCCTCCAGGCTCTTTCGTTCATGGGATTTTCCAGGCAAGAATACTGGAGTGGGTTGCCATTTCCTCCTCTGCTCTCACAGGGTATCAAGTGTTAATTAAAGATATTACCACACTTACCACATTTTAACTCTTTTGCCTCTCGGATGCAACCAGGTCAAAGGCCAGAAGAGAAGAAATGTTTTCGAGTAGTCACAAACCAGAGTGAAAAAGCTCCAAACTAAGTCTCCTATTTTCTGGTTTCAAAACCCATGCTCAAGATTGCAGCTAAACATTAGCTACTAAAACAGCCTCCCTAAAACACAGGAGAATTCTGATAAATGTACTATACTCAGCACTTCCTATGTGTCTGCACTTTACACACATTATCCCTATGTTTCCCAAGAGGCAAACAAGCTGTTAGACTGTTCCTTCTCACGAGGTTAAGCAAGTCTCAGGGTCACACGGGCAGTGAGCAGTAGAACCAGGACTTAAACCCAGGTCTGATATCATCAGCGTTCTTAACCATCCTCTTCTCACCATGTCTACACAACCACCATGATTCATGCCACCCAACATCTCCTGTTAGTTTTCCCTGGAGCCACTTCCCTGAAATCTTCAAAGGAGAAACCATGGAAGCAAGACAGACAGACTCTTTGAATAGCAGATTCGGGTTTCAGGTACAGTTCTACCTACTCGCTCTGTCACCCTAAGAGGTAACTCGACCTTCCAAGGTGTGTTTCCTCACCTAGCGGATGAAGCTCATTGTTCCTATTTCAGGATCTAGAAGACCCTGTTTCAGGGTATAGGTGTTAACGTGAAAGTTGGTTACCTTTTCCCCTCCTCAAAGCACTAAGATGAAAACTAGTGTCGGGCTTTCTGAGCACCCCAGTGGCGCTCGACTTCAGAGTCCTTCCACCACCACTTCCTCTCACCCCTCTCCACCCTCGTGGCTGCCGCTTAATTTCCCCTCCATTTCAGTACGTTCTCTTGCCTCGCAAGAAGGACTGGCCTTGGACGCTGGGAGTCTACCTACTTCTTTTTGTCCCCCGACGCTGGGCTTGAGGGTCTATCAGGACCCAGCGCGTCCTGCAAAGCCAGTGTCGGCTGCGCACCCCGCCGCGCGTCCCGCCCCGAGGGGCGGGGTGTGACCAGAGAGTTTGGATAGGAGGCGCTTGCCTTGGGAAACACCCCGCCGCCCGCGGAGCTTCCTCGGCGGCGCAACCTCTCTGGCCGAGACGCGCTGAGCGGCCGGGAGGCTTTTCTGCACCCGGACCCCCGTGGCCTCGGTCCTCCCGCAGCCTCCGCTCCGGCTCGCCGCGCCGCCGGTCATGAGGCCGCTGTTTTACCGCTGCCACAACACCACGTCGGTGGAGAAGGGCAATTCGGCGACGATGGGCTGGGTGCTCTTCAGCACGGGCCTCGTGGGCAACCTGCTGGCCCTGGGGCTGCTGGCGCGCTCCGGTCTGGGGTCGTGCACGCCGCGCTCGCCGCGCCCGCCGCCCTCCGTCTTCTACGTGCTGGTGTTCGGCCTGACGATCACAGACCTCCTGGGCAAGTGCCTCGTGAGCCCCTTCGTGCTGTCCGCCTACGCGCAGAACCGGAGCCTGCGGGGGCTGCTGCCGGGATCCGACAGCTCTGTGTGCCAAGCCTTCGCCTTCTTCATGTCCTTCTTCGGGCTCGCCTCGACGCTCCAGCTGCTGGCCATGGCCCTGGAGTGCTGGCTTTCCCTGGGGCACCCCTTCTTCTATCGACGGCACCTCACCCCTCGCCGGGGCGCAATGGTGGCGCCGGTGGTGGGCGCCTTCTGCCTCGCTTTCTGCGCGCTGCCCTTCGTGGGCTTCGGGAAGTTCGTGCAGTACTGCCCTGGCACCTGGTGCTTCTTCCAGATGGCCCGCGAGGAGCGCTCGCCTCCCGTGCTGAGCTTCTCGGTGCTCTACGCCAGCCTCATGCTGCTGCTGGTCCTCGCCATCGTGCTGTGCAACCTGAGCGCCATGCGCAACCTCTACGGCATGCACCGGCGGCTGCGGCGACTCCTGCGCCCGGGCCCCAGGGAACGCGCCGAGCCGGGCGCCGGCGAGAGGGAGGCGACCCCGCTGCACCTGGAGGAGCTGGATCACCTCCTGCTGCTAGCCCTCATGACCGTTCTCTTCACCATGTGCTCCCTGCCTTTAATTGTGAGTTGGCCGCGCTAAAGCTTCAGGAGACGGGCGCGCGGTGGGCCGCAGGAGAGGGGAGGGACGAGTAGGGCGTGTTGGGCGCGGCGCAAGAGAAACTGCGCCCAGAGACGGGAGGGTTTGTTCCCGTTCCGCGGATCAGGTTCCGTTCCCTCCGCAGTCCTCAGGAGATAGAATCTGATTTGTTGAGCGAAAAGAGGTAAAGCCACAGAAACTGAGGGAAAGCAGGAGCCGGGAAACTGAGGTAAAGCCACAGAAACTGAGGGAAAGCAGGAGCCGGACTGTGTCCCCTTAGCCCGGCAGAACCTCTCCAGTGCTGTCTGCTTTCCTCTGAGAAGGTCTCAGGACCACTTTTGCACCTCAGAACTTTGAGAAGCGGAACTTGGTTTCTCCTCGGCAGTCCTTCTCCACTTTCCAATGGCTAAGCCAGGTTTTATTTCGTCACACCTGCTCCTGATTTTAGTGGCATCAGAAATGCGCAAATGACATCAGGGCGTTCTTTCCACCCCGCCCCCCGCCCCCGGTGTTGGCATGGCAAGGGAATAAGGGAAGGTGTAATCCTGCCAAAGTGATTTGCAGACGCGAGTGACTGAAAGCGTAGGTTTAGTTTAGTCTTGTTTTTTTTTTAACTGGTGTGTAAACTTTGAGGAGTGGAGGGCGCCCTTTCCCGTACTGCCGCTGCAGGGGATGGTGTCTGCAGAGGCGGAAAGGTTGTTTGGACTAGCAGGTGTGGAGGAAGGTTTCAACTTGTGTCGCTCTTATAACCTGTCTCCACCGGTGTTGTTTCTGTCTTGGCAAGCGAGGTGACATGAGAGCCATTGCCTTTGGGTTTCAATTTACTGATGCAGGTGGTGGTGCAGATAGAATTACTTCGTCGTTTTGAAGGTATTTCCTCCTGTGAGCCCTGCCAAGACATCTAGAAGTGGCTGAGGCTAGAAGTATTGCTCCTCTTTCTCTCCTGATTCCGCAGTGTACTTGTTCAACATGAACAACGTTTAAATAAATTCACTGTCAAGTCCGTGTTTTTGGAGCCCCAAGACTTATGTGAATAGGAAAGTTAAGTTTCTTATGGCAGTGTAACAGTTTTGGACATTACTTTCAAGGGTGGATGAAAGTGACATATAATGTGATTTTTCCCTTAAATGAAGGTCTTAGTATTGGGCCAATAGTCGTCTGGATTAGGATCGGAACTCCCCAAAATAAATAAATATATAGCTATATAAACAAAGAGATAAAGATATAGGCGGAGATATTTAGCAATTGTTTTCAAACTTTATCACACTCAGACTCATCAGCAGCGCTTTTAAAAACATAGCTGGCTGGCCCTGTCCTCCAGAGTTGCTGATTCAGGTATTTTTGAAGAATTCAGCATCCTCCACCTCACCTGCTGATGTGGAGATCACATTTGAAGAACCACACTCTGAAGCAGGAGTTAGCAAATCAGAGCCTAAGTATCCAGAGAGCTGGCGACAGCAGCATTTTTTTCGTGGATCCCTAGTTTCAGCAGGGGGCGCTCTTCCTATCGGATTTTCCCTGTAATGGACTACATTCTCTAAACAAGCCCGTTGTTTATTCTGTGTGTTTCTTAGTCAACCGTCTCTTATAGGAGCAGTTTTATAAAGTATCTTCTAGAGAATACTATTGATCATCAGAGGTTTTTTGAAAATCTAGATTGTGTTCAAACAGATATCTTGAATAGAGTATGTATTTTGATCACTATCAGAAGTGAATAAATTTGTCATAATTTCAGTAAACCCCCAAAATAAATAAAATTAAAAGGCCATTCATAGAATAAATATTACATTTCTAATACAAATCTATTGACTTGAAAATATCAATTAAAATAACTTAATATGCAGGAGAATGGATATTGATGAATACTGCATAGAAATAAAATGATTTGTCTTCATAATTTAAACATCGTTCAGTTACCCAGATGCCAACTAATCAAGCATTCTCAAATAGTAAGAATTATATCTTTCTGGACTCCACTTTGAGGAGAAAGGAGTAAATATAAAGATTTAAGTCATATGAAGTGTTTTCTTTTTCAATCAACTCAAGTATGTAGCCTGTTGCCATCCATTTATTCATTCATCTCAGATCTGGAACCTACAACATTCCAGGCACTGTAATTCATTGCAGGGAATTAAAATGAGAAAAACCTCACATCTGCCCCCAGAGCTATAATCCTGGGGGTGAGAGGGAGTGAGTAGGGCCAGAAGAGAGTTTAGAAAAGAAAGGATTAACTCCTAATTGATAAAATAGTAATACTAGCTAATTATTTAATTATTATTATATGCAAAGATCTGTTCTCAAGGTTTTACTCATACTATCTCATTCGAATTTTGTAACGATGCTGGAAAATAGGTTCAATTGTCCCCGTTGTATAGATGAAGAAACAGAGTAACTTGCCTGAAATGTCATAGCCAGTGAGAGGATTCTATCTAACCTGGATAGTCAGACTCTAAAGCTGATGAGCTTAACCATCACTTCAAAGAGGCTTCTAGATGGGGGTAATACTTTAGGTTGGCCTGGAAAAAAGGTAGGATTTGGGCACATGATCAATTTCCATATCTGTAAAATGGAGATAATGAACATACTTAACAGGATTCTTGTGAGTATGAAACAAACTTTTTAAAGTAAAATGCTTAGAATGGTGCCTAGGAATATGAAACTCTGTATGGGCATTAGCCATTATTATTACTCTTTGTGTTATTGAACAGTTATAATGGGGTAGGGCTTCCAGATAACCTCTATCTTCCTAAGTGCACTAGATGGGAGTATCTGAGCCTGCTGAAACGATCTACCGAAAAGAGAATAAAAAGGTAAGGAAACAATTATGGGAACATACATCTTCTCATATCTCTGACTGCCTTGAGTGGATTTGGTCTGTGCGCTTATTTGTAACACCTCCCATTAATGCTGAGTTTGCATATTTTCTGGTCCATTAGCATCCATTTTGTCCCATTATGAATTTAAAAATCTCAGTGGGTTTGGGGGATGTAGGGTATTGAGAAAAAGCAGTGCTGGGCAAAACAGCAGTGTTGACTGAATGGCAGGAACGGGATGAAGCAGTTTGCAGGGCTACCCAGAGACCGGAGACCTCAGGGAAGAGCAAGACAATAGGAGTGGCTGGGCACAGGTATGTAGGCTTATCTTTCTGTCCCTGAATTATAGTGCCTGGAATGTTGGAGGTTTCTTCCTAGTCTGAAAAGAGGATGACAACCACAGAAAGATAAGCATCTGTGCTAAGAATAACTAATTTACATGAGTTGTCCCCTGTCTTTCCACTGGAATGCATGCATGCATGCATGCAAGTCACTTCAGTCTTGTCTGACTCTGTGTGACCCTATGGACTGTAGCCTACCAGGCTCCTTTGTCCAGTATTCTCCAGGCAAGAATACTGGAGTGGGTTGCCATGCCCTCCTCCAGGAGATCTTCCTCATCCAGGGATCAAACCCATGTCTCTTACACCTGCCATATTGGCAGGAGGGTTCTTTAGCACTAGCGCCACCTGGGAAGCCCCTCCACTGGAATATTTCCTGTCTTTTCACATTGATTAAAAGTTTCTGTTTCAAATGGATTCACAGACATAGAAAACAAACTATGGTTATCAAAGGAGAAATTGGGGGGAGGGATAAATAAGGGGTTTGGGATTAACAGATACATACTACTATATATAAAATAGATAAAGGACCTACAGTATAGTAGAGAAAACTATATTCAATATCTTATAGTAACCTATAATGGAAAAGAATCTGAAAAAGGATATATATATACACACACATACACACACATATGTGTGTGTATATATATATATACACATACACACATAGATGTATATATGTGTGTATGTGTATATATATGCATCTATGTTTGTGTATATATATGTATATGCTATATACCTGAAACATTGTATATCAGTTACACTTTCAATAAAGTTCAGAGAGGGGAACACATGTAAATCCATGGCTGATTCATGTCAATGTATGGCAAAAACCACTACAATATTGTAAAGTAATTAGCCTCCAACTAATAAAAATAAATGGAAAAAAAAAGTTCAGAGAAAGGGAAGTTTCTGTTCATTGGTGCCTCCACACATGCGACATTTCACGTGTGACTTATTTCTGTGCTAAGAATCAAGAACAGGAAGGAGGCAGAAGAAGAAGGGAAGAAATTTAGTATGTTTGGGAGTCTGGTGACCCTGTTTGTAAACAGTTCAGTGGACTGGCTCTGTCCCACTTCAGCTCTTCCTCTGCACCGCCAGATAACGCTAGCCCTAAGCTCTGACTGCGGCAGGCTAGCTCCAGAGGTTAGCCTGGGGCTTCCAGGAGGACCTGCACCTCCTCACTTGCACCCATTCATGACAGTGGCCAAAATGAATATCACAAGGCAAGCTGCCATAGTCTTATGGAAAAATAATGCTTCATAAGTGAAGTAAGGGAATTTATCGTGGCCATAGACCTTTTGCTATCCTAATCTAATGTTTTTCTTTAAAACAGTATCGTGCTTACTATGGAGCGTTTAAAGCTGTTCCTGAGCAAAATGGAACCGTTGAAGAAATTGAAGACCTCCGAGCCTTGCGCTTTCTCTCTGTGATCTCAATTGTGGACCCTTGGATTTTCATCATTTTCAGAACATCGGTGTTTCGAATGTTTTTTCACAAGATTTTCATAAGGCCTCTCATATATAGAAATTGGCACAGCAATTCTTGCCAAACTAACATGGAATCCAGTCTATAACTATGTTACCCTCTCTCATAAACTCAAGAATATATCACATCTTCTGCAAAGAACCATGAGCCACAAAAACATCGTATAATTTATATCCTTAAAAGGTATGTTCCATAACAAAATATCTAAATGTATTTTCAGAACTGTTTTGTTCATTCTTCATAATGTGTTGCCCCTCTGTATTCATGAATCAGTTCAGTGGAGTTTTTCATTTTGAGCTATAATAGCAACTACACTTTCATATATTGTAAACTGGTAGCTCAGTTGCTAAAGAATGTGCCTGCAAAGCAGGAGACCCGGGTTCATTCTCTGGGTTGGGCACTGGGTTCAGTCCCTGCATTGGGAAGATCCCCTGGAGAAGGAAATAGCAACCCACTCCACTGTTCTTGCCTGGGAAATCCCACGGACAGAAGAGCCTGATGGGCTACAAGAGAGTTGCAAGAGTCGGATGCAATTTATCAACTAACCCAAACAATGTTTAAAGTCTTAAAGCAATTATAGTGATTGTTTCAATGTTCATACTTGTTTTCCCTAATTTTTTAAGGAGATCTTAGGCCTCTGGGTCTTTATTTAAATCCAGAAAAAAACACCACTGTTCACAATTATGTAATAGGTTGTTCTTAAATTTTCTTATTCTCCTTATTTCTAGTGAAACTTGATTTGTTTATTATGTGTCACAATTGCTCCTATTTAAATATTTTCTTTGCCACCTGATGCAACTACAGTCTGAGTTAGAGATGCCCCTCCTAAAAGGGAAGTGCAAAATGTAACTAGATCAGGCATTTGGAGCATCCTTCTCCGGCCAACCCCTGAGAGAAGGCTCACTGCCTTGTGTGAAGAGCCAAAGCTATAAATAAGTAAATGCGAGGCAAGGTGTGACTATGGTCTACAATCCAAAGAAGAAAAAAATTCCATTTATCCTTTAAGTCCAATTTCTTATCTGGAGGATGTCAGTAGGCATAAAAATTTGGGAGTGGGCTACAAAATGTTTCAGTTTTTTGGAACCTCCATTTTGTAGGTTTATCATATTGATGGATTCTTTGGTGGGGAGGGATTTATTGTTCTTTGAAAGACTGGGATGTATCATTTCCCAGAAAGCATGTTTACTACACATGGCTATAACAGAGCTGGGCATTCAGCACAGCAGCAAGCTCACCGGAACTCAGTCAGTCTCAGCTGAGCATGGTGGCGATGACCTTAACACCTACCTGTTAAAGCCATATTCTGCCCTTGGGGGAGATGGTAAGAGTTCCTGAGAAATACAGTTTCAAGCTGGAGCAGGATATGGCTCAGATGGAGCACAACCAAGCACTTTAACTGTACATTTAATTGTACATCATGTTTACAAATGTTAGCAACACTATGACCAAAAGGGAAAAGTGGGGAAAATACAGCTGCAGCTGTTAAACCAAAGAAGAGACTGTAGACCCAGCCTCAGGGAAGAACTTTCACCTTGGATAGAAGAATACACGGGGGCTTCAGAGGGCTTTTGGCATCTGTGGGTCCCTTTGTACCCAACACAGACTCTGAGCTGGAGAACCAGATACATTTGAATAGCCTGAGATCCCCATTTAGTCATCCCTTCCAAAGACCAGAGTATTTGCCTTATTTCCAGTTTAGCAGCAGCCCCATTTTTACCTCTGGTTTATCTCAGAGGTGGTGTTAACCTGGAAATATATGTGTATTTTTTGTGTGTACCAAAACTGTGAAATGGTCAAATACAGGAATACACAAATTATAATCTGAAAGCGTGATGTGATGCAAAATACACTCGTTTTCGACTTTAACTCTTGCTTGTGTACTTAATGTGTAACTGCCTGTGTGTTTTATTGTCAGAGGAAGTTTGTTTTTTTAATGCTCTCCTTTTGGAAAGTGTTATGATCATTGTCAAGATCATTTGAAAAGTTCCCAGATGAATCAATAAATATAATTTTATAATATTTTGCAAAGAAAATTACTTTTCTTCAAATGAAAGAAAAGAACTTCATGTTTTGGTTTTGTTTCATTGTTTTGAGTAAAAGTTTATCGGCAGCCTTTCATTCTCTAGCAGTTTAATAGAATGGATTTTTATAAACTGTCCTATTAGCAAATACGTTACTTTAAACAATTTTGCATAGGTTTATCCAAGGAATTAGTGGTCCTTTCTGTCTAACACAATGTAGATACACCATCTGTATGAAGTCCTTGTTAAGTCAAAAGTCAACTTTTCAATGATCTTCATTGATTTGTTCACTATATTATTAAATAAGTTTTAATTGACACATACCTTGTGCCAGGCAATTAGGTGCTGAGGAAGAAAATACATAAGACTTAGTTCTGGCCCATAAGTTGCTCATTGTCCAGTGGGAGAGACAAGCATGGAAACAGGTTACAAAAGAGTATGGAAATCCAAGTAATAAATGTGCATGCAGAGTCCCATTAGAAGAGGAAATCTGAACTCTGGGTTGCATAGGGTAGGGTTGTCACTAACCCTAACTCGGGGTAGTTCTGTAGGGTTGTCAGAACTGCACAGTGAGAAGATACCGAAGTCAAGTACTAAAGATGAGTAGGAATTTTGACTCCAGTTGAAAACTAAAGAAAGGACTAAAAGAGTCCACATAAGAGGAAATACATATGGTTAATAAATGTAAAAAAAGAATTCCTGTCTAACCAAAGAAATGCTAAATTAAAATCAAATTATCAAGGACCACACACAAAAATAATGATGACTGTCAATAACAGAAAGGCTCTTATTAAATAAAAAGAACACTGGTGCTCCCCTGGTGAGTTTATAAATTTGTCCACCTTTTCTTTTTTAAAAAATTATTTATTTATGTACCTATCTAGCAAGGGCTGTGCTGAGTCTTCATTGCTGTTCCGGCTTTTCTTTAGTTGTGGCGAGTGGGGGCTACTTTCTACGTGCAGTGCACAGGCTTCTCATTGAAGTGGCTTCTCTTGTGCAGCATGAGCTCTGGGGCACTTGGGCTTCAGCAGTTTTTGCACATGGGCCCAGTAATTGCGGTTCCTGAGCTCTCGAGCACAGGCTCAACAGTTGTGGTGCACCAGCTTAGCTGCTTCACAGGATGTCGGATCTTCCCAGATCAGCACTGCAGGCAGATTCTTTGCCACTGAGCCACCAGGGAAGCCCAGTTCACATTTTCTCAATAGCAACCTGATGGTGCATATCAGGAGCCTTAAAAGGGTTTTTTTCTACCATTCCAGTGACTCCACTCTAGAATTCTCTTCCAGAAAATAATCAGAGGGGTTGTCACAATTATGTGCAAAACTCTTCCTTGTAGCATTGTTTAAAATAGCAAAAAAATGAAAAGGAAACCATCTAAATGACTGAAATAAGGATTAGACAAACTCTTCATGTATTATATACACACACATATATGAAAATAATGCAGCCATATAACAAGATGTTTTCAAATAATTTATAAAAATTGAGAAGAAAGCTTACAGTGTCATATGAGGTGGAACAAGCCTGATACAAACTATTTTAAGGTATGATCCATAATTAAACTATGTGTGTGTGTGTGTGTGTATAAGACCTTGAAAAAATAAACCAGAGAATCAAAGTGTGGGCCACAGTTATCTTTTTTATGGACATTTTTCCCCGTAACTCTTCATATTTTCCAAGTTTTAAAATAATAAGTAAAATTTTCTTTCATGTGAAATTCTTTTTTAAAATAATGAATAGAAATGGGCTGAGAAAACAAGGGGGAAAGGCATACAGGACAAGCTTTCAAGTTAAAGGACCAATATGTGCAAAGCCATGCAGGAATAAAGGAGTATGGCGTATCCAGGCTTAGTAGCTCCATTTGGCAGTAGCTTGGGAATTATGAGCAGAGGTGGCAGGAAAAGAAGCTGAAAAGAGATGCAGTTTTCACACTGTCAAGGTTGTCGGGTCCAGGAAGAAGGGTTGGAGCTCTTGTGGGGCACATATTCTCATTGCAGACTTTGAAGCCAGGATGCAGCTAGAATGGAGTTTGAGGGAGATCATGCTGGTGGCGTGTACTGCAGATGGGCAGATGGGGGCCGGATGAGGTTGTACAGTCCATGCACTAGACCAGCGTGCTGGTTAAGGAAGTGAGTAGGACCTGCTTGGGCTTCCCAGATGGCACAGTGGTAAAGAATCTGCCTGCAATGCAGGAGATGCAAGAGACACTGGTTCAGGAAGATCCTCTGAAGAAGGAAATGTCAACCCACTCCAGTATTCTTGCCTGGAAAATTTCATGGACAGAGGAGCCTGGCAGGCTACAGTGAAGGGGTTGCAAAGAGTCAGACACAACTGAGCATGCAGGCAAGGACTCGCTTGCTTGGCTGCTTGCCTGTATGTGCAGTGCACCAGCTCAGAAGAAAGGGCCCCCTTTGATGATCTTTCTACTGGAGGAAGCACAAAATGCCAAATATGCAGGCCCAGGAGCACCAGGCCACCAGAGAGGGTTAGAGGAGAGGAGGAGCCGAATTCAGGCCACGGCAGGGAAAGGTGAGTGGTGCAGCTTTTTAATAGGTAGAACTGATAGGGAGGATTCCAACTCATGACTCAGCTGTGCCTTTATTCTTCTTTCAATATACTCAGGAACAAGTTAGGAGAATAAAGAATTCTGAAAAAAGTCTGTTTCTTTTTTTCCTGACATTGCCAGTATACCTGGATAGAAGATCGCTGTTACAATGCTAATGAAGCTTCTGGATCAACTGTGGATTTTAATTATATACTACCCAGCTCACAAAGAGTTGGACACGACTGAACAATGACAACCACCACCCAGCCATGTTAATAAAGGGCCAGTGATTTAGACCATTAACTTAGTTCCAGAAGCCCATCAAAGGCTGACTGGACCAGGTACTCCTGAAGCTTTTGGGGAGAGAAGGGATCCCACAATAAAAGCAGTATGATGGTCCTAGATACTCACCAGCCACACAGCCTTCTTGCTCATTTAACTGAAGATTTTTGTGTTCTAGGCCGGCACTTCTCAAAGCCTGATACTGGGCCAGCAGCCTCAACATCACCTGAAACTTGTTAGAAACATGCATTCCCCAGCCCCGCCCCCACAACAGTAGAATCAGAATCTCTGGGGCTGGGCCCAGCAGTCTGCTTTAAGGTGATTCTCATGCATGTTCAAGTTCAAGAACCCCTGCTCCACCAAAAAAAGAAAATACTGGCCAAATGACCAAAATATACGCAAAAAAGACCCCATTCATAATGTTTCTCTGACCTCTGATTCTCAGATCTTTTCAGTTGTAATCACCGGCACCTAACTCCCCAAAGCATGTTATCTGTAATCCTTCCGTTATAATACTTCTGTTCAGGCAGTCATCACAACTCATTACTTCACATGCTCATAGTATTAATGGCAGTGAGGAGCCTTTGGCCCATGACGGAAAGCTGCTCCTCCAGAGGAGCTGCTTCTTCATCCTCGTGCAGATGCTTATCGGGTCTAAGCCTAACAGTTGTTTTGTTGGGAAATAAAACTAAGCAAAGGGCAGTCATTCACAGAATAACATTACCAGAGATTATGTCTAAGGGAAGCTTTCATTAGGAAATTGATTACATACTAAAATGGTGCATATATTGTTTAAATAATAAAGTGAACATTCAAGTAAATGCCATGCAGGTCAAGAAACAGAACCAGAGGTGAACATTATCCTGACATTAGGATGACCATGTCTTCACTTTTCATTACTTTACCACCTGGGTGTGCATCATAAAATATGTACTCTTTTATATCTTTCTCCCTAGCTTGGTACCGTGTCTCAGATCAGATTCCTCCCATGCAGACATAAGACAGGGCTTCAGGTGTGTGTGATCTGTGGAGCTCGTCTTCTCAGGAGAAAGGCAGTGAAGGAAGCTGGGACAGGGCAGTTACAAGCGCTAAGCAAAGATGAAGTCTCAGCTGCAGCCTACTCCCGGAGCAAAAACACCACAGTGCTGGACCCACAGGTCATAAGCAGTCTTTGGCAAGGGTGCACTGGCCTTCAGGTCAAGTGCAATTTTCCAGGAGCTTCTCTGGTGGCTCAATGGTAGAGAATTCGCCTGCCAATGCAGGAGATGGGGGTTCAGCCCCTAATCTGGGAAGATCCCACATGCCGCAGGGCAACTAAGCCCATGCATCACAACTATTAAGCCTTTGCTCTAGAGTCAGGGAGCTGCAACTACCGAGTCCACATGCCCTAGAGCCGGTGTTCTGCAACAAGAGAAGCCACTGCAATAGGAAGCCGCAAGTAGAAAGTAGCCCCACTCACCACAAGTAGAGAAAAGACCCCGTAGCAA